GTGAGAATCATTTATTCGGATTATGTATGTTAAGTTTACACAGAAAAAAATTGAAGAACTTCATTTAGCTGAAAAGTTGTTGATGGATATGGGAAAAATAAAATAAAATTGCAATTTGTGTTCAATTAGTTAATAAAAGTATTTAATTAGTATAAAAGTGTTTGATTATTAATAAAAATTAATGCTGTCCCCCCTTGAATTTTCATCAGTAGACACCCTTGATCCAGCTCAAGGACCGAAAAGATAAAAGACGAACTTCCACCACCATTATTTAAATAATAAATTTATATATTTATACAATAAATACTATGTTTTACTATACTTAATGAGTAATGAGTATTTAAATGTAAATTAACATGAACACATTTGGGGTGTTAATTTCAAAAATGGGGATGCTGAGCACACCCGAGCACCCCTAAATTACGCCTTTGTCTGTAACAGGGTTGTGACGTGTCACACATGTGTGTCAGTTCGATTGTGATTTGCCTGTTCCGTTATCAGTTCATGGTAGTATATTTTATCGAACGCGTCTTCGCTTTCAAGATGGATAACATACCCTTTCCGCTTACTACCAAATAAATCACATAAAAAGATCAAATATGAGACTGAATTGTACGTGCCTTATTTTCGTATCTGTCTTTCAATCGTTCAATTGCTACATCATAATTAGCTTCTGTCAATGCTATAGATTTAACAATATCTTGTGCATCTCCTCTAACACATGCCCGAAGATGGTATAACTTCTATGTTATAGTAAAGTCATCATTTTTATGTATCATAGAACAAAAAGTACTAAAAAACGATTCCCACTCTTGAATGTTTCCGCTGAATTCTGGAATTGTAACTGGAGCGTATTTAATACGGCTAGTGACCCTGGACACACTTGCAGACTGATTATGAAGACTTGACTCCAACGATTTCTTAGGATTTATAATGGATTACATCTTGGGTCTAATAGGAAAATAATCAACCTCAAATTTATCACGCTCATCTGCTTCTATGTCGAAATCATCTTCAAGAAGTTCAATTTGTGACTGAATGTCGTCGAACTTTCTGTTTAACTGTGGCAGTTCTTCCTGCCGAAATTCTAGAAGTGCAACATCATCAGTCTCAGTATTAAATTTTGTTACATAATTGCTCATACGCGTAAGAGAGTCCTTGACAACACCACGTTTTCTTTTAAGATCAGATAAAACTTTTTGACCTTGTTCATCTAACACCATTTTGAAAAATTGTTTTGCTTTAATTGAAAATTTAAGATTTGACCGATTTTGAAATATGACAACAAAAAATGCGATAAAACGAACAATAGAAAAATTAATAAAATAAATATAGAACGATGACAAAAAAGTACAAATGATCAAATGATTGAATCAAACTTATCAACTGAATGACCGACAACAAGAACGCAAAGACAAAAAAAATATGTGCAATCACACAACAAGGAACAATACACAACTACATTGCTAAAATAAATTTAAAAATCACTAGTTGAAATAAAAATCACGTCGAGGTTATCAAATGTTGGGGCCGATAGCGTAAAATAATATTACGCGCACACCGGTCACCTGTTGTAAATGCGTGCACTAAATGTAATTTCACCACCGACCGACTATAGTGTGTATGTGTGTATAATTGTATGTAGCTTCGTCAGAATGGTTGGGTTCGTCGCACAAATCTGACGAGCTACGTGGTGAGGTGGTGTGTGTGTGTGTGTATTTTGTGTTGTGTGTGTGTTGCTATAAATTAATGAAAACAAGAGGTAACTAAATAATTGTACAAGGTTACTGGTAACTCTGTTGCTGTTTAACTTATTTTTATAAATAATTATAATAAAAAAGACAAATAAATAATTAAATAATTCACAGCAACAGATATAAATAAATAAAAATAAATATAAATAAATAAAACAAAAACTCACTAATTGATGGAGCGCGGACTGGCCAGCTGTAACTACGTACCTTACTACTATAATAATATATAAAATAACAAAAATCGGTGATTTGCGCCAAAAAAACAATTAAAGCAAAATAATAAAAACTGGTGATTTTCGCTCAATAAAATAACAATAATAATAATTTCGTCTATGGCGGCACAACACAATTGTATTAACAAAAATAATAAAATGTCATAATAAAAAATATAATACTAATTCGACCTATGACGGCAATACTAAAACAAAGAAAAATGTGCCTATGGCGGCTGCACAAAAATTTAATTCAAAAACGGTCGATGTGAACCCAACGACAGTTCGTACGACACAAGCGACAACAAAAATAATGGCACCGGGCCTTTTACAATTATATAACTCACACACATATAGACGGCAAACAATAACCGATAATAATTAAAATTATAAACAATGATGTGTGTGCGTGTACGTATGGGTCGAGTATCGTTGGTGAACCGAAATAGACCGATGACCATAAGATTAATAATTATGAGAATAATATGTGTTAGTGGCGCAAACATATGTAATATTTGTTTTCCGTAAGTAAAATTAGGTCCTTCTAGGCTATAATGAAACAAGTCCCAGACACCCCCAAGATCCCCCTTCGGGACGGCCTTGTGCATCATAATGTAAAGTGATTGATAAATCGTTTGTTATTTTATAGTTTTTTTTTTATGGATAAAAAAATATTTTTTTTTTAGCAATTTTAACTAAAAATTAGAATTTCAGATTACAACTACTACCATCAATTTTCCAAAAGAACATCGATGTAAATTATTGGGCAAACAAGGACTTAATCTAAAAATTATTGAACAACGTACTGGAGTACGTGTTCAAATACCGCGTATACAAAATTCGTCCGACATCATTTATATTACTGGAACAAGAGATTACACGACAAAAGTAGTTCAAATATTTTCAAAAATATGTTTAATGAATCGGAATTTAAGTTTAACACATTTTAGTAAATTAATTTCCGAAAAGAATGGCTCGAATGAATAGGTTGGAGAAAAATTGACAAAACAAATAATACCTATTTTTAAAGTGATTAAGTGTGATCGTACTAGTTTATTTATTTTATTAATTAAATTAAAATTAAATTTTTAAATAAATATTTGAAAATTTCATGATTTCTAAATTAAAATGTAGATAATTTTTATTATACTTTTATTGTAAAAAATAAATTAATGAGGATTTTAATATTGAATTTTGATATAACTCGATACAAATTCATTGAACTTTTAATTTTAATATTATAGGCTTAAAAATTTTTAAAAGATTTCTGATGTTTTTTTTTTTTTTTAGAAAAAAATGTAGAAGTCTTATGTAATAACGAAATCAGGTATTTTAACAAAATTCTATCAAATAGTTTCTTTCGTAATTTTTTAAAAATTAAAATTTTCGTTAGGAATTGGAGGAAATTATATTTAAGTTGAAAAATAAAATTGAAAAATAAATAACAATTGATCAACGTTACCATGGAGCGATAACTGGAGTTAAGGGTGAAAAAGTTCGACAGCTTCAAAAAATATTAAATGTTCAAATAATATTCTCCAGTCTAAGTAATTAATAATATTAATATGTTTGTTTTTTGTATTTTGTCTGTTAATAAATAATACTTGATTGGATATTATAGGCGAGGCTAGAAATAATTTAGTCAAATTATGAGGTTTGAACGATGATGTAAATAAAGCGTTTAAATCATTAGCCGAATTGGCTGAAATATTGGATGAAACTATGTTTTGGAAATTCCTATTTTTAAACAATTTCACAAACTTATTACTGGAAAGAGAGCAGTATTTATTAAAAAGGTAATTATTATTAATTAACTTTTGTGATTGGACCTTTAGAAATATTGTTATTTATATAATTTAATATATCTATATTAAAGAAGAGACTGATACGAGAATTTTTTTACCACGTGAAGAAAAAAATAGTGATGTTATTTAAATCATGGGAAATAAAAGAAGTTTTAATCGCTTATGATATGATAAAAGAAATACGCAATGAAATAGTTGGTTTTTTATAAAGATTATTTATTTTTCAATTTTATTATTAATTTATTAATCATGTATTTTTAATTCGCTGTTCGTTGTTGTAACGTAATCATTACATTACGTCTCTCTACCTCGCCACTAGAGTTAAATTACCACTATCCACAACCCACGGACCCGATCTAATGACCTGGTTTCGCTAAATACAAAAAATGGCAGTTATATAAAAAGTAGCAATCGCCATTTTCATTCTAGGATAGTAGACTGTGATTGTTACTTTGAAATCATATGTAAAAAATCAAAGTTACCTACTGCTATATCATACCATACTGTGATTGCTACACTTTAAAAAGTATGTTTAAAATATTATTACGTTTATCAAATCACATGTTAAAATCAGTAATCGCTAGGGATATGTAGTTCTGAGGTAGTTAACTCTAAGAGTAGATTCTTTAAAATGAACTATGGAAGTTGAATCAGTGACTCAGTTCGACAAACTTATCAAATTCAATACCCTCACAAACTGAACTGATACACGACTCTCGACTCTCGGACAAGCACAAATTTCATAATTGAACGTGTTATAACGTGACATACACTTCCATAACACTCTGCTATATTTTATATATTTTATGTCATACTATAAAAATAAGCAAATGCTATAAGTCTCGAGTCCTGCTAATTAGTAATCATAATAATACTTACCAATATTACTTTTAGACGACACACGACAAATAATAATAAATAATCGAAGCATTATAGCACGGCAATAAAAAAGAAATAATAAATATGTAAAACAATTTATTCAAGGCAGTTCATGAGGAATTATAAAAATATAAAATAAAACCATACAGCATATATTCATATTTCGCGCGTGTTTACGACTGTTATCATTACTGATAATTCCCCTTGAAGAGTGAGAACGAAAAACGAAATCGGTTTTTCTCGTTCTCCGTTCCGGCGACGTCTCCTTGTTGTACAATCCATTGTTTTATCATCTATACTGATTTTAACCGTTCTGCGACTGCACCGCCGAGATAACAGTTATCAATTTGTAACGGCTCATATCACACGACGCAGTTATCACGGGGACTTCGAAAAAAAAAAATGTCGTTTCCCAAATAAATAATAACATTCGATGTCGAATATTACTGTCCGGCCTTGCAATCACCGTTGCAGCGTGAACGCAATGACCGTTGTCCAACGTCCGCGACCCACCGTTTCTGTTACTAATGCGAGCGTGCTGCTTCCGGGTGTTCGTCGACGGTGAACTGTGGGACTGCCTGTTGGTTGTGAAACACAACCGGAACTATGCGCTGTACACGTCCGTCGACCGGTTGCCGTCCGAACTGCATCCGCTCCGGTTGGACAATGTCCGCGGCTCCACACCGACGGTGGTGGACGCCAATTGTCTGGAGCGCGTCATCAAAGCGTTGGAGTACAGCGACGTGTTCAAACGGTCGGCGTTACGTAGAATGAACGCAGTCGTCACGCACGTGGTGGACAGCGACATGGTGATCAACGTCAATGACATCAGTCTGGTACCGTCCAACAGATATAGATTGCCCTACACATGGTACACCGGTAGAACACATTTAATAGCTCGAACACGAGAACGTTGTTTACCCGCCTGTCAATCTGTAATAATTGTTTGGAATTGATGTTTGCAGGTGCGAACTGTACGAGAAAACTGATCTACAATACAGAGAAATGGAAAATATAATGGCTTGGTTGTCGACTCTTGGTGGAGCTTTCTCATCGTTGGGTGATCAAACAGAACGCTATGTAAATTACTAAACACTATTTTCATCATAATTTCATAACCCAATGTTCTACCCCATTAATTTTGTTTATCGTTGTATACTTATCCCTGGGACCTATGACGCTTTCAAACTAATTACATTTTAACCCGTCATTGCTTGCATGTAAGAATTTCTTTCACATATTTTTTAAGATGAGAATCACTGACTTGCTCGTAGTTATATTTCCCTCAAATTCATTGTACCCATCAAGGAACTAATAAAAAAATAGAATTATCAAAAAACAACAACTTCATTATTCCGATAGGGAATAATATTGCCTTCCAAAAATAAATAGTTGTATCCTATTAGCGAATCTCTCTACGCACGAGTAAAAGCGTTGAAGTTATAGCACACATTAATCTAAATATTTTATTTTATTTTTTTATTGTTTTACTGTTTAAATTTATTTAAAACATGTGTCATTTCATTTCTATGTGGTTAGATGAAGATATGTCAATAAATGGCTCATGCGGTAAATTTTTTGATTGATGTAAATTAAATTATAGTGTTGAGGAATATTGCAATGCAACTCATCAATGGATTGACGAAACGTTGAAAGACAATTATTATAAGACTATGTAATTTGCATCAATATTCCCAATAAGCCAAACAAATATAATATATAATATGTATAATTGTTTATAACAATAATAGTTTACTGCTTAACAAACTGCATTTTATACATGACATAATATGTCACATAGATCATTATAATCATTTTTATTATATTAATTAAATACATAATTTTTCTATTCTGTGTTTATTAAGCATATAATATTATACATTTATTTTTTCCTGAATCATTATTTTTATGATAAAATATACCTGGTGAATGATTGCTTTACACGTGAGCAGTGGTGTTCAGATTATGTATGCGAGTAATGACAGGTTAAATATAATAATAATTCTATTCATTAAATATTTTAGTTTAAGAGAGTTAAGATATTTTGGAACCAGGAATTTTTAAATTTTTTTTAATTACTGTAGGCAATTGTTGCTGGGAACATTTCAATACAACAATTGAGAATTGCAATGAAAATCGGCGATCCATTGATTGCTGCCAGATGTAAGCTATACGCTGCTATCAGTCTCATGCAACGTGGTATGTTCAAACAAGCTAAATTCATTGTTCAAAATCAATACATGTACTTCAAGTCTCAATTAAATGTGGATGAGCGACTTATCAAAATGTGTTATGGTATATGGGCCAAATTACGTTATGAAAGGAATAAGAAAAAATTCAGTTTAAAACTTATGTGAAAAAATTTATAATTTACTTGATTGTGTATATTATTTTCTCTTAAAAATAAAAACAATGAAATCATATATATATATCTGAAAACTGATTTCTTTATTTCTCTCTGATTACTGTTAATACAATTTTTTTTTTTTTTTACTCAAAATTATTTAAGTAAACCTATAGAATATATAAAATAATTTTTAATATAAAATAAATTCAGATATGATTTTTTTTTCTAAAATATTATATACTAGTTAATAATGCTCCAAAGAATATTAAACACAATTTTATAATAGTAACAATTAAATGTAAGAATAATTCAAATAAAATACTAAAACTAAAAAAGAAAATGTTTAAAATTTTAAGATTATTTGATTTCATATATGTACAGTCATTTTATAAAACTATGATTGAAACACCATTTCTGATGCAACTGATACACCGGCAACATGGCGGTGATCTATTCCACCAATTTTCAATTTACATTCTGGACAAACTGATTCTTCCATTGGCCCTCCACATTCTGTTATACAATATATATGGCCATTAGGACATTTATGCCAATGACCTTGAGCACTCACACCTCCTACAAAATTGACTGCCATAGCTTTATGAATCATCCTTCTCTCTTTGTTTATAATAATAGAAATACCATCCATTTTCTGCTGAATTAGTTCAATATTATTTTGTATTTCCAAGTCTTTTTCTTGATTATAAGCTGTACATGACATTAACAAAGCTTCCATATTGTCTACTAAATGTCTTGCTTGTATTGCATTAGCATCTTGAATTGTAAAAATCATCCTATATATTTCAGTTGATTTTATTTCAAAAAGAGTAATAATTCTTTCACCCCGTAACAATTCTTTGTTGATATCCGATTTTTGTTGATTTGACAAATTACGAGCATATGCAAATGCAACAGAGAGTAACCAAACAAAGTGATCAATAATAGTTTGTTTCATTTGCTTATCCTTGATGGTTTTAATTCTTTTTTTGTACTTAGATGTGCAATTAAATACATAAATGACAAATTCTAATGATTCAATATCCCTGGCATGTAGATTAAGTTTCTTATGTTTATTAGTAAATGATTTTATTAAAGGACTACAAAATATGTTCCATAAATTTTTAATATGATTACATTTAATTACATCACCAATAAATATAGAGTCAAAATTTTTATTCAAGAATTTTAATGACTCTAAGACTGTCTTCTTGTGGCTTTTTATAACACTTATTTGTCCATATAGTTTTTCTTTTATTTTCGTAATGTCATTTAGAATAATTTTCACCTGGTTCATAAAACGTTGGGTTTTCAAAATTGGTGTTTTACACAATGGACATTGTTTTAGAGTTATTTCATTATTATTTTGATTCATCCATTGTTCCAAACCTTCAGATTCAATTGAATGTTTACAATCTTCCAAGTAAATAAATCTACAACAATATCAAATAGATAAGACTAAACAATGTATACAATTATAATAGTTAATACTTTATTCGATGATAATTCACACATAGCGATATATGTAAGTAATATAATTCTCAGGTATGTAAAATAAATAATATTAAATTAAATTACTATTATAATCGCATTTATATACATTCTAAAAATTGTGAAGAGACGTATTTTAATTTTTAAACAAAAACCATTTCTAAATTATAATTATTTAAATTAATTATTTTTTAATTTTTAGTTTAAGACTTTTAGATTCTAAGTTAATGGAGGAATGTATTGGTTTTAACAATATGTCTTTTTTTTTTGTATCTATGTAATCGGTTTTGACCAGAAAGATTGCTCTAATCATCAGAAATTTGATCTAGTTTATCTTCGGACAGTCATTTTACAAATTTCCATTAAATGTTCTTAGTAAATACAAAAAACTGAAAATTTTACAAAAAAACGATCAAAATTGAATTCTATTTTTATTTCATCGTACCTCAAAACAAAATAAAAAAATCGTTGACTTTGATATAACAATAAAAAAAGTTTAAAAATTCCCTACATTTTTGTAGTAAAACATTCATACAATTTTAAATTTTTATATAGGTATGTCGCGTCCTGCGTAGTCACATAATAAAATACATCACAATGAGGTTCCCATGAACATCAAAAACCACAACTGTGGATAAGTTAGATTATTGTTTTGCCGGCTTGAAGGCGGTTCGAGCTGTGCAGTGGCACAGGGCCCCGCGCATTGAAAGGCCCCGCGGATCGCGGTCTGTTGCATAAATAAATTACCGGATATTTATTTAATACGGATTAAAAACGGATGGGATTGGCCATACATTTTTATCCATCCTCGGATAGGTAGGTAACTCTAATAGCTATAGGGCGGATTGACTAATTTATTAATTATTCGTACTCGTATGACACGTAACGGCAGCGTGATAACTGATAGCACAATGTTGAGAAGCAATGGCTACAACGGCGACAACCACAGCGAGACAGCGGGTTATTCCAATAATGTTATTGGAACCGGGCTCGGTATTGATAACGATATTACAGTATATTCATCGAAAATTCATAATAATAATAATAGGTATATTTTATTTTAAAGTACCAACTACCTACTATGTTTATCATTTTGTTGATGACGCCCATCGAATTTAGACGTCAAACGAAGGAGACTTTCACGGTAAATAATTATAATTAATAATATATTTGATTTATTATATTTAAATTAAAAATAAGTTAAGTAAGGTTGGGGCTATATACGGCAATATTCGGATGACGGATTCGCTCAATATTTTTGCCGAGATTTTATAATCTAAAAAAAAAATTTAGAGTGAATCGACCAATTATGAAACTTAATGGTATGAACATGATCTGTGTTCGTATGTTGGTTTTTTACGATTATTCAAAGTGAATTATGACTGTTATGAGCATTTTAATTAACGCAATATTAGGTATAAGCATAACTTGCTAAAAAATTTAAGTATTGTAAAAAACCAATATACGAACACAGATAATGTTCTTACCATCAATAAGTTTTATAATAGGTCGATTTACTTTAATTTTTAAACTAACGGAGCTAAACGTCATCTGCTGAGCTTAAATTTGCTATGTTACGCTCTCGTAAGATGTAGACGACAAATACCTTTAGAACTTATTGATTTAAATTTTCAATCCTTAGCTATAAAAACTGAAAATTTTATGAATTTGTAAATTTTGAAAATTATGAGAAATGTCAAAATATGAATTTTAAATGTTTATAAAAGAAAAGTCGTGCCTATGTATTTAATTCGCTCGGTGAATTTCGAGGTAAATATCGCCATGTATAACCCCAGCCTAAAGTTGTTAGTTGGTATCTTTGTAATATTCTATAATAATTTATTCAGGTATTGAAAAAATAAATACAAATAGGCAAGGCTATTATATAGGTATCGAATATTTTAAATATTATAGGCTGTCGAGGTGTTCTGCACTATATCTGGATTTTAAAATAACGTGTTTAAATACAAGTAGAGACCTATTATTGATTAAATATACTATAATATTATAGTTACTGTATATTTAAACAATGCTAATAGTTAATGGAATACTTACAAAATGTCAAAATATAGGAAACGACTTATGAGAAATAAAGAATAATATTTTAAATTATTTCTTATTCACAGCATATAGTAGATATTAAACATTAGTGCTATGCGGGCAATTATTATGTACTACATTTATAAAAGAAAAACATATATTATCCAAACCCAATACACTGTCAGTTTTAATTAAATAATAATAATAATTTAATTATTTTGTTGGATTTCATAATTTATATTTTATAAGTACCTACTTACAGCAAAATAATTTTTTTTAAATATAAAGAAATACATTAATAGTTAAAACGTTTAGATTGAGACACAACCTGGTAATTAATTGGTAATTTAACATAATTATTTTTTATTTCGACATAGATTATATAAAATGGCTAGCAGAGATTGCGATCGATTTAGAAAATATTTAAGTGGCAGTGAAAAAGCAAAAAGGAAACTTAAAAAAGATGAGTATTTAGAGAATCAACGAAATGCAATGAAAAAATTTTTAAAAATAGAAAACACTGGAATACTAATTAGTGAAAGTTCTGAGAATAAAAGTTGTTGCCAAGAAGTATTAGAAAGAAATTTAAGAAATTTTGAAAATGTTGAGGATGGAAGAATGACAGAAATTCAAAATGAGTCCATTGATGTAGAGCACGAAAAGCCAACCTTCAACGACACGATTGAAAGTATAGTTTTAGAAAAAAAATACTGTGATCAATGACGATAGTGAAAGTGAGAACTCAAATACACTTAATATAGAGGATCCAGGAACTTGGCCAGAAAAGATAACAGATAAGCTTCGCACACATTTAGTTAAAAGAGGACCTGTACAAATTCGCAATTTTGATTTTCCTAAGGACGAAGAGAAAGGGAACAGAAGATTTTCTGATAAATATTATAACAGAAAATTAGCAAATGGTGTTGAAAAAGAAGATGGTTAGTTTACTCAAAAACATCGAATAAAACATTCTGCTTTGCATGTAAGTTATATAAAACTAGCATTGATTCGTCATCCTTAAGTACCAAAGGTTTCAACGATTGGACTCATTTAAGTGAACGGTTATCAGCACACGAAAGGTCATCTAATCATCGGTTGGCTATGAATACTTGGCTCGAAACAGAAAAAAATTACAAACTCAATAATACTATAGATGATAAATACGAATCATTTGTCGAGAATGAAACTGTTCGTTAGAAGAATATTTTTCAACGTATCTTAGAAACGATATTATACTTAGCTGAGGGTAACATGACTTTTAGAGGTATAAATGATAAATTATATGAGCCACATAACGGTAATTTTTTAAGGCTTATAGAATTAATTGCTAAGTTTGATCCCATACTTAAGGACCATATTTCAAGGACTGCTCCCGCAGTCGAAGGGACTAAAAGAAAACATACGTACTTATCACATACCATCCAAGATGAATTAATAACAAAAATGGCTGAAAAAGTTAAATTTAAAATTATAAGTAAAATAAAAAAAGCAAAATACTATTCAATCTTACTCGATTGTACTCCTGACGTTAGCCACCAAGAGCAGTTATCGGTAGTTATACGTTTTGTTAACACAGAAGCTGCGATTATCGAAATAGAAGAACGATTTATTTGTTTTGAAATTGTTGATGATACTACAGGACAAGGTTTATCTGATAAAATAAAACAGTTGTTAAATTTCGAAGGAATAAGTATCTTAGACTGTAGGGGCTAAGGGTACGACAATGGTGCAAATATGAAAGGAATATACAACGGAGTACAAGCTCATATACTGAGACAAAATCCTAAAGCATTTTTTACACCGTGTGGCAGTCATAATTTAAACTTAGTACTCGGAGACATCGCTAAATCGTCAGTTTTTGCAATTTCATTTTTTGGAACTCTACAAAAGGTATATAACATTTTTGCTGGTTCAACTGCTCGCTGGGATTTATTAAAAAAATATGTAAAAAAAACTAATACCAAAACCGTTATCCTATACAAGATGGGAATGTCGCTTGGAAAGAACTACGCCGTAAAACACTAGATCCCAAGATTAAATCTGAAATTATAGGAATTGAAGATGAATTTATGTCATTTGAATTTTTGGTTAGTTTAATCATTTGGTATGACTTGTTAAACCATGTAAACATAGTTAGCAAAATTTTACAAGATTCTAAAATGTGTATAAGTATGGCAACTTCTCATTTAAATGAACTGTTAAAATATTTTAAAGACTTTAGAAAAACAGGATTTATTTCATCTATTATTACCGCAAAAGAACTTGCAAATGATCTGGATCTAGATCCTAAATTTGAAGAAAAACGAATACGTAGAAAAAAAAGACAATTTAGTTACGAAGGATCCGATGACCCAATAATTAATGCACAAGACAATTTTCATGTTAACTATTTTTTAAAAATAGTCGATACAGCTATTATTTCATTCCAAAAAAGATTTACCACATATGAAGAATATGAAAATATATTCGGATTTGTATACACATTAAATAAATTAAAAGATATGAAGCAAGAAGAATTGCTTAAAAACTGTAAGGATTTACATATAAAATTGGAAGGTGATATTGATGGAATTGATTTATATGAAGAGTTAATGATGTTTCGTAATATATTACCACAAAATTACTCTATACTTGAAGCTTTGCAATTTATATTTGATAATAACCTTTCAGAAATTTATCCCAATTCTATAATAGTACTTCAAATAATATTGACTTCACCAGTAACCACTGCTACAGCAGAAAGGTCGTTTTCTAAATTAAAAATGATAAAAAACTACCTAAGATCGACAATCAGCCAAGAAAGATTCACTTCATTATCGATATTATCAATTGAACATGACATTGCCAAAAGCATGGATTATAATGATGTAATTTTAGAGTTTGCCGCAAAAAGAGCAAGAGGATTAAAGTATTAAGAATTAAATATATAATTTTCCATATTATATATGAATCATTTATTTTGTATTAATAAAATATTTAGTTACTAACTTTAACTGTAACGTACTTGTTTCGGTTCAATGTAAAAATTAAATTAACATTTGTAATGTAAATAATAAATTATGAGCTACAGAATTATATTTTATTCATATACCTATCACTAAATAACATTTTAATTGCAGAGGCAATTATCACACTTATATCTTATCTTGAACAATATGGTCATATGGGTCCATATATGATTAAAATTTATTAGTAGGCTTAAAACTGAACTATTTCTGATGGCCCTAATCCAAAGAAACAAATACTGGCTAACAACCACTAAAAAATAGGCCCCGCGAAAACATTTTGCACACGGCCCCGATATTTACCAAGCCCTGCACGTGGTTATTACACTGGAAATTACAATAAGGAATTAGAATATCGAAATCACAAGCGTAGACAAGTGAAAGGGTTCACATAAACGTTTTTATGGGAAATTGAAATAAAATAGTTAATCGAAATAGTAGTGACCACATCCTGGGCATCTGCGTCAATAATTATGTCACGGTCCGGAGATAACGCACACACACTCATAATCCATGGGAAATTATCTTATTTTATTATCGTTTTCATTTACACACACACACACATGCAGATATCAGATATAAAAGGGACCCGAAAACAAGGGCAAATCAGACAAGTTTTGGCTATGCTACACTGAGCACCTTCACGTCAGTGTTTGTCATGGTCCGAACATAGAAATATTTCACACTATTTTTATAAGTCATAATTGTTAGGACTTAGAATGATTTCTACAAATCCAAATTGTTTGGACTTAGAATAGTTACGAAATTGTAGTTAGAATAATTTTATGAGTTTAAATAAATTAAATTATTTTAAAAAAGTCTTGATTATTCTTTACTACACTTACAACCAAGCGTTGACTGAGACGTTGACACTGAAATAACGGATCGAACGGTTGGCACGTAACAGGTATATGGATTAAAAATTAGATAAAAGAGATTTCTCTGTAGCCAAAAAAAAAGAACTAGATTATTCATCTATGTTGACAAAACCTAATTTTTAATTAATTTCTGTTAAATATAATTAACTATATAGTTAGACATTTCATAATTTCAAAATATCTTAATAAAAAAAAAAGTGTGCTGTTTATAGGGAGTGGAAAATGTCGATTTTCCTAAAATGTTTTTTTTTTACAAAAGTTAAAATATTAAAATATCAACTTATAATATTTTTACTATATAATTATAAAATAATCTACCAAAACTATTTTATTCAAAATCGTTTTTTTAAAAGCAATGATAAATGGGTTTAAAATACCATTACATCAATACCATTCAACCATCCTTGTATCTCACCTGACAGTTTTACCCTTTTTTAGTTAATTCCCGAGGAGTTATTTAAATATGTTAGTTAAAAAATGATAAATATCCTGATAACCGATGATATTTGTAAAAACATTCTAATGAATACAATTTAAATTTTTTGTCAATTACCTTGAATTTGGATCATCTTCATTTCCAAATAATAATGCAGTAACTTCTTCTATTTGACAAATTCGACAAAGAGGAGGACACGGTTCACCACAAAAACCAATACATTCATGTCCACACGGCAACTTAAGGTTGCAAGGCTTATAACATGGTTTTCGATTACAAATTTCACCACAATTTTTAGTACATTTAAAGTGTGGACACTTCCAAGTACAAGTTTCCTAACAAATGAAAATATAATATTTACAGAAAACTTATATAGCAAATTGTTAAATGTTAAATTAAAAACCTTGCAAGGTTTACACTGAACACCACAAATATTAGTACATCTTGAATGCACACAGGAATACGAGCATTTTTGATTACAAGGTGGACACCGTTGCTTACATGGAGATTTACAACTGTAAAATAAATAATTGTACTATGCAAATATTTTTAGCAAAAATATATTTACATACGTATGATTACATGGATTTATTTTGTTACATATTTCACCACAAGGTACATGTAAACGACCTTGTTTACATTCCCCACATGTACCCTTACACATATCATTACAGTTTAACACTTGGAAACATGGTTCACGGCATTTATCTAGTAGATATGTACTGTCCATACTAAATTCTAAAACATAAATATGTATTAACAATTATAATTTTAATTTAAAATAAATAAAACAACTACACAAACAATTTATAACCTGTACATTTAAATTAAAAAATTTAAATTTATTTTAAATTAACTGTAGGTCTTATTTTAAAGACTATTGGCGTTATTGTTGTGGCAGTCATCATCCCAACTAACTGAATTTTAGTTGATTGTTAAGCAATAAGGGAAAACATTATTTTATTAATAATAAAATCTAATAAGTGTAATAATTTATTACAAAAGAAAAAGTAAAACAAAGTTAGATATACTCAATGACAAAATTGAATGCAAACATAAATTCAAATAAATTATTTAAAAATGAATTTAATTTAATTTTGATGATGTTTCATTTCAAAAATATAATATTATTTTAATAATTTGATAGATTTTGGTTTATATCCAAAAATGAAGAACAATTAACAAAATTAATTGTTTTTAGTATAAAAATTACCTTTATCTTTGTCACAGCATAAAACCCAAACTTTGTCATGACCACAAGCAAGTTTACTTTTTTTTTGTAATACTAATTCCTTACATTTCATTTCATCACATTCTTTTGCACACATAGATTTACATTGGTGCCCACAAATTAAAGTGCGTTCACAACTTTTATCACAATTTTTACGTGTGGGCAAAATTTTACATTTAATTTGAGTTAAATGTCCACAGTCTGGTATAATTTTTTTCACCTAAAAAATTTCTATTAAATTCCAATTGATTCTTTAAAAAATATAACTTACTAAAACATCACAAGGTTTACAAGGTTCAAAACATTTAGCATAACATTTATGATTACATTTTAATTTACGTTCACATGCAAGATAACATTTTATCTTATTTTCACTTAGCCCACAAGGAATATTATTCTTCTCGTGCCCACAAGATAAAACTTTTTTAACTTTTACAATACAATTTGCACAGTCTTCATAGCATAATTTTTTACATTTGTGATTTAAAGAACAATTTATATTGACACTTTCACATGGCTTTAAACATTTGTACTAAAATACAGAAAAATTATGATTATATTTAGAAATTTTAAATAAAAAATTATTCATTAAAAAAATTACTGTCTCATGTTCAGGGTCATTATTTTTATGACAATTGAGTACACAAGCATGGCCACAATCCAACCGGTCATAACACTTAAAAGTGCAATTAGGTTCTTTTTCATGGCATTTTTTCTCTATTTTATGACCACATTCTTCTAATATTACTTCCACCTATTGTTTAAAATATGACATAATGACTATAATAGACGACAAATATTAAAATTTATCATTTGAACTCTTACTATTTCTTCACACGGAAAATCATTTTCATCAACAAAACAAGGTAAACTTGTTTGATGATTACAAGGTAAAGTTTTTATCACGGGCACCGTACACTTTCCACATTCCATAAAACATTTTTTTGTACAAGGGTGATTATATTCACAAAATCTATAATGTTTGAATAAATATGTATACTCCAATAAATAATCACTAACAATTTGAATTAATAAATGTTAATTTTATTACTTGTTACAAGACTCTCTACATTTAAATTCATTATGATTGCGATCATACGAATGACATATACTTGTACAGTAATGACCACATAACAGTAATGTATTGCATAACATGGTACAACCACCCTCCTTAATTACATTAAAATCTTCACTTTTTGAAACTTTAGTCAAAATTTCAGTATGTACAGCACATTGTAAAGTTAATTCATTACCTTACATAAAATAAATACATGAAAATATAATTATCAAATATATTGTATATTTAATTGATGAAATTAACTTACCATATGAATCCTGATTGTCCAACGTAGTTTTTATTTGTTTCCATAAAGTACCAGAATTATATAAATTGTCCATATTACCCATTATGTAAAGACCATATTTTGCCCTTGACAATGCAACACATATTCTGTTTTCAGTTTTTAAAAAACCAACATTACCATTTTCATTACTTCTAACTAAAGATAGCAGAATTATGTCGCTTTCTTCGCCTTGATAATTATCAACAACAGTTATTTTCATGCCTTCTAATATTGTATGCTTTTTTCGTAACTAGAAGTAAATAAAATTCATTTCAAATAGTAACATAACTATTATTTAAATAGACTTGGTATTTAATATACTTATTTATAATTTCTAGTTATAATAAAACAATAAAGTTTATAATTAAACAGTATTTTCGAACTGCATCCTATCAAGGCTAAGAAATAACAGAAGAAACTCAAAGTGACTATCAAGGAGGATTCAGTACTGATAAGTTGACACTAGATCAGATATTCATCCTTTGACTACTGTTCTAAAAATTATGGGATTTCAATAAGGATTTACATGTTTTTTTTTTTTTATTGACTTTAAGAAACCGTATGACAGTATTCACAGAACAAGCTTGATTAATTCCTCGAAAGAATTTAATTCACCACAAAAATTAATAAGACTAATAGAGATAAGCAGTACAAAAACATTTGTTAAAATCAAAGTTGGAAGTGCAGAAATAGAGTCAATATGGGTTAAGACAGGGAGACTCATTATCACTAATATTTAACCAAATTTTATAGAAATAGTAAGAGAAATGGTTATTCAATCACAAAAAGGTGTTAAGTTATAAGAAAAGGTCATAACAGTTTTAGCATATACAAAATATGTTATACTAATGAGTAAATTACACAATAATTTAAGATCAATCAATTGGAGAAAAAGGCAAAGTAAATGGGACACAAAACATAATAAATGAGAAAAAAACAGAAAATATATGCTCAGTTATCCAGTGACGCCGATCCCTATATTCAAGTATGGCGACTGTCATACTAAATTATGTGGTGGGTGGGTACCTACTGAGTGCTGGGTAGGTGACACATAGCGTGTACCCACAGCCCAATGTGTAAAATGTATTAATAATATTTAATATTTAACATAATTACATAAAAGCACATCAGTTGTGGTACACTGATTACGTCGATACAAGTCAGAAGATCGTAATATTAACACAAATAATACGATAGTGCGATGTGATGAAAATATTATTTAATATACGAACACCTATATCGGCTATATCATAAATTATTGTTAAGTCACAATATGAAAATATATATATATATATATATATATTAATATCAATTTTAAATACAATATTATGGTAGGGTTTCAGCCCCCCCCCCACCGTTTACATTAATTGATAGGTGGGTAGGTACTATTAAAATTTGATATTCGCCATACTGCATTTTTTGTAGTTCAGCGCCACTGCAGTTATCGCTTAGAAAGCTGAGACTCGACAATCAAAAGATACTGAGGAGAGGAAATTGACGGTTTTTGAAAGGTCTTAAGGAAGATTTTTGGACCTGTAAAGGACAGAGAACGGGAGAATGGAAAACAAGAAAAATCTATGAACTAGAAAGACTTTTTCGGAAAAAAAACATAATAAATCGTAATTATAATTTAACCTACGAAATGTGATAAGAATTTTGCATAACACTAGGCAGGAATTTTTGAAATTTTAATTAATTAATAAAAAGTTAATCGCTTGGGTGAGTTCATGTTTTTTTCTTCCTTAAAAAAAAAATAAAAATAAATGTACCAATTAAATAATATATTTATAGATGGCAATGTCAAAAAGATGTTGATTTCTATTTTTTTATTTTATTTTTACCTATTTCTGATATTCTATACTGATTTTTCCTAAATAAAAATACAAATTTTTTTTTACTTTTTATACATGACATTTTTAAGAGCAAGATGCCCGCGATAAATCTTGCCGCAGGGCTCGATGGCCCTGACCAGAACCACCTTATAAGGATGATTAAGGATGAGAACCCAATTGATGAAAAACCACTGAGAAAACTCCGATTGAGGTGGGAAGATGTAATAATAAAATATGTGGAGGCACTGAATGGAGGATGAGACTGGAAAACAAGAGCAATTGATAGGAAAGGCTGGAGGATTGAATGTGTGACGGAATAGTGTTGATTACCAAAATACTCAAGAATAAGAAGAAGGCTATAATTGAAATAGGGCGAAATAAGTCATATAATGATTTATACCATTTGATTATGAAACATGTTATAAATCAATACATAATGATTCTTTCAATATATGCACAAACAATACAAATTAAACAATTAAAGCTTAATACAACAACACACTATTAACATTCTAAATAGGTCAAATCTTTAAAAGAATGAAGCAAGATCAAATTTCCTATACTACCCTACATAAAAAAAGGCACAAAACCCTTTCGAGTGCTTTTGGCCAAAAGCCATTAGTGCATGTATATCAAGCTCTTAGTCATAGACGCAAGCCGATCGCCGGAAAGCTTCAAGAAGCTTTTTGTGACAAGTTATTATTACATGTGATTATTTCACTTTTAATTTTACTTTAAAATTTAAGTTTTCTGTGTGATCTTTCCACTATCCATATCTAATTTCTATTTTCCAATTTTTCCCTCCTCACTTTTCCTTTCATTCAAGTCTTTTTTTATTTTCATTTTTAGGTTATTACAATCAGGTGAGACTTATTTAGTGAATTATATTACTGTAATGGTATTGAAAACTTGAAACCAATGTATCAATGTTTCCGAAAATAAGAAAAAAAAAACGATTTTGAGTAAAACAAGTAGAGTGGATCAGATTATGTTTTAAAAAATGGTTGATAAAGTATAAAAAATCAATATCATAATTAGATAATCTGAATTTTTAATATTCTTACTTTCAAAATAAAAAAAAGGAATCTAAAATTTGGATGATATAAAAACTTCAAATGTCGGTAAACATTACAAATTTCAATAAAATATTTTAAAATTATATATTTTTTTTTTAGCCTAACCTAACCATATTGTATAATGGAAATTCATCAAAATTATGATTTTGTCTAAATTTTTCTTTAGAACGCTTATCAAACATTTATGCTGTTTTCTAGTAAATTCATTATTTTTTTATTACTAATGAAGTCTTATAAAAATCTTGTGGTTGATTTTTGTAATTTTATGTATTTTATCAATATTTAATATTAAACGCTCCTAACATTTTTAAATGAAATTCGGTTTAAATTTTTTCATTAATTAATAATTTATATGTATAAGAAACATTGTACAAAAATTACTTTTAGTCAAATTTTAAACTTTTAATTTGATAATGAATGGAGCAATCCTTCTGGTCAAAGTACATAGACACAAAAAAAAAGACATGGTACAGCTTATACATTACAATAATTAACTTTTTTTTGACTTAGAACAATTTATTTGAACAACATTTAAAATAAATAAAATAACTCACAGAGCGAAGAAGAAATAATTGCCCACTGTAAGTTGTTAAAATAGTCACTTGGTTAGTTTTGTATCCTTGAAATACTAAATGTCGGGCAAACATAATTAAAAATGAAGCTTCATGATCATTGCTTTTGCTTGAAATTTCCTCAACCTAAGTATCAAAATCAAATTGATTTAAGATAAATATAAAATACAAATGTTAATTCTACCTACTTCTTTTTCAAACATATTATGACTGAGGAAAAATAAATCCTTGGTCACACCACGTATATGTTCTCTATTATAAACATCTATATGATTTTTTAGTTCAGGATATATAGTTGGAGTTATAAGCGAACATATCTCAGGACGCATTCTATGCTGTTCCCCTAATGTATAGCAAGGTACATTGTTATTCACCATACGTTCAAATAATGAAATATCAAATTTATAGTCTTTTGCTAATTTGAAAACTGCATTACTAGGCCGAAGCTGTTTATGATCGCCTATAGTACGTGCAAAATAATAATGTTGAAGTAATTTTAAATATAGAAAATTAAAACAACATACCTATTAATAATAAGTGTTGACAGTGTTTAGTTAAAGATGTAACTATATGTGCTTCCAAAACTTCAGCAGCTTCTTCAACAACCACTGGAAATCATATAAAATTTGAGGGATATTTAAAAATAAATTTCTATTAAAATGTAATTAGGTACCTATAGGTGATTCTAGGCCTTCTAGCATCACTCTATGTTTAGCAGCACCAGTAGTCGTGATAGCTATGACATGCCTCGATTTTAAAATTTCAATATTTTCCAACTCTTTTAATTCTGCATAATGTTTATAAGTATCAGAATACATGTTTTCATATTCCAATATTTTAGGAACAAACATTTCTTTTGTCATTTTAACCCACTTAAAATATAAAGCCCATCTTTGTCTCATATTTAATGAATTTAAATTTTTAATAGATCTTGACAGATTAATATCAACATCTACTATATTCAGCATATTTAGAAAATAATCATGAATACGTTCCATGACATTAAATTCGAATTTCGCTTCTTCAAAGTCATTATATAAATTCACATCAAAATTTGACTGTTCTTTCAATTGTATACTTCGAGTAAGTAGTTCCTTGCACACATTTTTTATGTCATCTATAGTTATACTGTAAATTACAATATCTTTATGATTATATTCGAAATCTGGATCATCAAATTCATATTGTAAATAACTTTCTTCATTTTCTTGAACATCTGGTTTAATTTCAAGAAATTTTTCTGAGTGAAACACTTTATTTATCAACTCATGACTAATGCTGTAAATAAATTCAACTGGATCAACATTGAAGTAATCAAAATCTTGAAATAACCATGAGAGAAGATCCAAAGTAGTTTTGAAAAAATAATGATATTGTTTAGGCATACCATTTTTAAGCAATGATAGCTCTAGAATACCTGCATTATATGAAACAATTTCCTCACATTTTCTATAATACTTAATTTTATTCATAAGGCTTTGTATTTTATCATTAACATTTCTTAGGGCTCTATTAGTGGTCATTGACTTTCTGAATACACGAGTAATATTCCTTAAACTATATTTCTCAATTATTTCTGATTTTGATTGACCACCAATTCTTACAACTTGATTTGTGAAACTCAATACACCTTCAATAAATTGATCTAAAGCATGATTAGTGTAACACACGACCAAAATTGGTTTAGTGAGATATGATACGGGTCTGGAAAATTTTGGATCACAATCTCTATACAAATTATTGATTAATGTTTTCAATATCTTTAGTCCAATAAAAGTTTTACCAGTACCAGGAGGACCTTGGATAATAGTGAATTCATGGGTCAATGCCGCTTTAAAAGCTCTATATTGCATTTCATCAAGTCCAAGCATTTCATTAGTTGGCCATCGGTCATTTAACAATATAGGAAATTCGTCCAAATCATCAATTAAATAATTTTGATTGATTAATGTGTCCAAATAATATGGATAATCCATATCTTTAGATGCTGATACTATATATTTTTCCATAGGGAAATTATGACTATTAATATTTTTTAAGACCTCCATTGAACATTTATAGGGTTCAAAAAATACTTCACTTTCAACCATAATTAGAGATCTTTTATACAAAGGTTTAGCACCTCCTATTAGTTCAACAATCAACTTTCCTTCTTTTAATAATTCAATTTTACGATCTAAAACAACACCTATGAAAAAGGTTTGAAATTCATTTATAGTAAATAACAATAAAGAACCATACATAAACCTTCTAGCCATCTCCCAGTTGATTCTTAATTTATTATTCTTATTGAAGTTTAACATGCATCCATTTCTATCATAAACAAATTTGCCAGCATTTTCAAATTCAACATTATGATAAATGCGTATATTATTTATTTTTTTTCTATATTGTTGGCCATTCATCAACTCTTTATAAAATTGAATACCATCACGTAGTGGAGCAATAAAATCTTCTCGTAAAAGACGAAATTGTACATCTAAATAATGTTCGACATCCCTATAGGCTCCTTTCAAAATATTAGGACGTAAAAATGGTTCACCAAATTCAAGATCATTAGCAGTTGGATATATAGATAATACTCTAAAATTTTCTGGTGGATCATAAAATTGTGCAACATTATCGAGTACCATATTTTCTTTTGATACTAATTCATCTGTAAGTTTGATATCATTCATTTTTTCTAGTAGTTCATTCATATCAACAACAATAGTCTCATTTAGCTCAATATGCTTACAAAAACTTTTTATACCATTAAATGCAATTATAGCACTTATAACTATTTCTTTTAATTGCTCAACAGCGGTTCTTGGAAATAAGGTAGTAATTGATTGAAATACTATTAAACAATCAGAAAAAAATAAATTCATATTTTTACACCGTTTCAAATTTTTTTCTGTAGGCATACTTAATACATAAGTTTTCAGATGACATAAAAATGTATTACAAGTAAGTTCAGTTAATAATTGTATTTTACTTTGAATTAATTCAGTAGAACACAATTTAGCAGTAACTCTCATGAGCAGAAATATCCAATCTGGATCTTTATTTTGTTTGAAAAGGTCTATGAAACCATTTGTTTTGTTAAACATCACAAATATTATTTCGGAAGGGTCTTTATTGCATAATTCTTCAAGGCATTTATATCCGAAATTTAACTTTCTTAATATATTTTGTTTGTCCTTACTACTGTTTTTACTATTTGAGTCATTTTTATTTTTATTATTTTTCCATTTTTCTTGAATATTCTGTTCGCTTTTTTGAATAGAACTACTAAAATATGACTCATCAGATTGTTGGGATTGTGATTTAATTACAGATGACCCATTATTGGAATTCTTTGATCTCCTATATAATGGATTGTAATTTTGATAATTTTGTTTTTCACGAGACTTCTTGTTCCTCCGCTCCATTGTTAGCGATTGAAATCTGTCATAGAATAAATACAAATTAATTTTTTTTTATAAATTATTTACTAACATACGAGTACAAATACAAAATCTGATTCAATACTATTGAAATAATATCTACATTATTTAAATAAATACATTATTATTTTTAAGTTCATTGTTGTAATAAAATTCAGCATTTTATGAATAATTTTTATCTATAATTTTTTATTACATGAATCTAACCATTAAAAAAAAAAATCTTTTGGATTTGTTAGTTTAAAAAGGTATTATTTTTATTATGTTACAAGTATAAATTACAACTTGTTTGTGACTAAATGATTACTTTTAGAAATATTATTTTTTACTATGAAAAAAAAAAATAATTCAAAATAATTTCATGATCTCCCAATGGTCCAAAGAATACCGGTTAAAAAATTTCGATCCAATATAACTTCCTTAACTATACAGTACTAGGTGCATGAAGACATGGAATACTCATCCATTCGTATCCAATTCGTATCCATTCGTTGGATTAGGAAAAATTATGCATAAATTTCGACAAATGGTTATTTAAACAATTAGTAATAGAGTTATATATTTTTAACAGAAGTAGGCAACAAATAATTCTATTGGAATTTCTTTCTTTACGCAAAAACCAAAACTCAAGAACTAATGCCGATAACACGGCTTTTTACATGTTCGCTGAATTCGTTAGTAACATTTACGGGAATCGAGAACCCCATCGCATAGTTTTTATTACTTTATATTATAAAATCTTGTAGAACATCTTCGGTTGAGTCTGGTATGATAATGTTTATTAATTCGAATTCTTACTCTTAAAAGATTAGATCGAAGACAATTGTTTTTGTTACAATTAAATAGAAATGGAATAATTTGGAAATGGAAAAAAATTAAAATGAATACAATGATTACTAATATTATCTATCAAATATTTATCCATGGAGATTTATATTCAACACCCAATAATCAACGTTTCAGAGGACATTATACCCAAAGTGAAGCATATACAACCGTTAAGAGAATGCGCTGTTATCGCGATCCGCAAACTCGCGGCGTTTAAATGGCCACACCCATTACTTGTAGTCGGTGGCTGACCGACGAGTCTCGTTCGGGAGCGACGTTTATTATTGTATGAACGTCCTTTTGAGTCCTTTCGCGGCATTATAAAATTCAGTATATTTCTACTTCACTGGAAATTTCGGATTTTTTCTTATGTTAACTTATGTATTTTTTAACGCTGAAAACAATAGTACAAACGAAAATTGGGACAGACGATAAGTTTGGAAGGGTACCTTATCTACTATTCATCAGTTTTGTATTAAGGGCATTTGATCCGGGTTAAGTTTTCTATCAAAATATACCTATATTCTGCTTATTGTACTGACCTGCCTTATGATCGGATAAGATTCACAAAAACATAATTGAATTTGTCATGAAATTGACTTGAAAACGACTTTTTTACTTTTTCGAATTATTATTTTTATACCCTTAAGAAATTGATTTTTAAGTTAAAAATAATAATAAATTTATAATGTAAATAATATGAAATTTATAACATAATTTGAAAATGTAAAAAAGTCGATTTCAAGTAAACTTCATGACTAATTCAAATATGTTTTTAGAAGTTATATCCGATGACCAAGGAAACCAGTATGATCGGCAAAAAATAGAACTAAATCATATTCCTTGCAACAGAGTGGTTTGACTTATGCATGCGCGTGTGGAAGTAACCTTCAGTTAATCGTTGCCGCTAATTATAGTGCCCGAATCATTATCAATCTGTTTATTTTATATTATATTATACCTAAATGAAACTGGGCTAAATATTGTCATAATTCAAAAGCCAATAAATAAACTCTCAAAGATAAGACAAAGGTAATTTTGTAAATGAAAATTTTAGAAATCGGCAGTAGTAGTTCATTCGTATTTGGTTTATGGTATAGCTAAAATACAAAGAAGTTACTATTTTATTATATTTTTAATATATTATAAAATAAGCATTCTGTAATATCTATTATTGGAAAACTGGTTCTGCCATCGCGCCGGTGCATTGGTGATAGCACGAGATTAATATGGCCCGGCATGGCATATTGGAAGAGGGTTTAGAGCTGGGTAATTACACACACTAGTGATCAGTGGCGTAGTTACGGGGAGGGTGTAAGGGCATAAGCGTGTGCAGACATAACTGGCAGGGTAGTCAAACATAACACATTATCATTTAATATTAACAAAAAATTTGCATTCGTAACTTCATTTAACTTAATAACTATATTTCTCCAGTATTCTTACATTTTTTTAACGTTAACTAATGTTTCGAAGTGGTTGAAAATAATATGTTTATTTATTATTGTGATCATATTGAATATTTTGGTGAGGGTGGGAAGTTTCACAGAATAGTCAAGTACCTACCCTGACTACCCCGTGTGCACGCTTATGTGTAAGGGGTTTCCACCCTCCCCACACAAATTTTTTTTATTGATATTTGATTATTATTTATTAATATTTACATATTATAGTAAAATATTTTGATTTTACTATGATTAGGTATATATTAAAAATTGAATAACAAAATAATTTTCATTAAATACGGGACATAATAATAATACCATTTTAAATGTAATATTATTACATATGACCTCGTTTTAAGATATACTAAGAACACTTAAAAACTTACTCTTAAATAACCCCCCCCAGAAAAAAATTGTATCTACGCCACTGCTAGTGATCATTTACTTTGCACACACTCTCATGGCATTCACGCACGCGTGTGACAAATTGCCTATATTCAACCCCTTAAAAACTATCCGGACGAATTCCCTTAATATTTATTTTATTTTTAATCATTGGTATAATACCCAGGGTATCGGTAATAACCACACTAATCGGTTTAATAGGTATAAATATTTGGATTCAAAATTCATTTCATTTTCACGCTTAAAGATAATCATTTTATATACATTTATACAACCAGTTCAAGCAGTTAAATCATGATTCATTCAACTGTTCTGATTTCGTTTACTAATCATTCGATTATTTTGTTCTTGACTACTTATCATACGATTATTCGATTTTTTTTTCCATTATTAATCATTCAATTATTGTAATCATTTGATTATTCCCATCACTACTATGGACTAATAATTACAATATAAGCCACTGTTTATATACATTTATGTACCAATATATATATCATAGAAACTATACCATAATAATTTGATTTGTATTTATTGAACTATTAACTTTATTACTTATATTTCAACTTATACTTCATATATAATAATTTAGTAAAATGTAACTAAATAAAAGGTCACAATATTATCTATTGGTAATCATATAATTACTATGGAAAAGAAATAAAACTTTTTATTTAAAATAAATCAAATACAGATATTAGATTACATATACCTATATAATTAATTAAAACAATAATGTTTTGATTTTTTCTACGTCGACGACTTATTTTGTTATTTTTATTTGCCATATTTTTTTAAAGTTATTATAAAAAACACAAGTGAAAATAAAATAAAAATATCTTATAGTGATGCTATCAAATTTTGGTTTCATATTTTCTCAGTTTTTTTATTAGATATGAAATATTTTCACAAGTTTCAATAAATAATAAATGATGAATATTAAATTATATAGTAGACAGTATGTATTATATTATTATTAAGACTTGGGACTTAAAGCACTTAAAAAGTACTAAATATGCATGCACTTATGTGCTTTAAAAAGTACAAATATGCTTCAAAAATATGCACTTAATTTTTTTTAACTCAAAAGTGTTCAAAATATATTTTATTAAATACACTCGTACATAACAGTACAAATGTTGTTAGTATTTTATATTAAGCTAAACATAATTTCTAGGTATAAATATATAAAATAAAATAAAATATAAGTATAGCTTGAAATTTGAAATTTTCTTTCAAAATGTTCTCATTAGATATTTCAGTGTCATGAAATTAATTTCAAGGTTACTTAGCAATAAATTGAATAGCCCAATAAAATCATGCAAATACAAAACCTTCCGAGCCCTTTGTTATTATGAATATATTATCATAGAATATTAAATTATTACTATTAAAATCGGTAATCACACGTTCAAAAGTTGGATAAAATCAACTTCACGGTATCTTATGGTTAGTGAGGTAACTTGTGATTTATTATACGGCATACCTTGATGTAATAATATGGTTCAACCAATCAGAGATAATTATTTTAGAAGATACGACACGGCACGGTATAGTGTGAACCCGGTTTAATAATTGGTACCATCTCCAACGATGACACAAAAGTCAAATATTCTAAAATATGCTAAATGAGCTAAATATTCTCTAACCCAGGGGTTCTCAACCTTTCTATCATCGAGTACCATCAGACACTTTTATCATCAATACGCGTACCACTTTAATTCTAAAACTTAAGAGGACGTTATACCTAAAGCGAAACGGTTACAATGACCGATAGGAAGCACTAATAGGTATTTTTACACAGCGCAAGCATGCGACCAAAGCACACAAAGTTATAGTTGTTATCGCGCGATTGACAAAACGGTCTAAAAATAATCAACATGCGAGCGAGTATTTGTTTCATCATTGATTATAGAATATTATGAATATTAATATTATTCTATAATCAATGGTTTCATCAACGTCTTAAAATGCGGATAATGTAAAAATAATATAATGATGATTATTATAATATCACCACAATAGTCAAAATTCATATAATTTTCGCGCGCGCTTACGTACTAATTATTGATTAAGATTACTATTTCTTATAATGTGTACACAAATAATTATACTAAAAAAATGTCTGATAAGCTATAATACAATAATGTTTACATTAAAATAAAAACGAATTAATATATTATATGCATATTAATATTTTACTCAATATTATTAAACTTTTATGTTCTCATTTTTATTTTTTATACTGTCGGATATATGTTTGGGTTCAAAAATATCTGATTTTAACACCCCCCCCCCCCTAAAATAAATAATAATAATATAA